ATTGCAGGCATAACCAGCCAGTGATTTTCTCTCAGATCAGTAATATTAGAAGGATGTCTATGGTAAACTGAAATCGCATTGGTTGCTGTGGTCGCTGCAGTTCACATAGCACTATTTACATCGGCACTGCCTTACATCTGAAACCATCACTTAACCATTGTCATAGGGGTTGATTAACTAAAGGCAAATAGGTTGTTCATTTTGCAAGAGATATTTCACTTAGCTCAGTGAATGTGGAGGAAAATCACTTTGCCAAGAATACCCAATCATGTGCAAGGAAAAAATATATATATATATTGTTTTATGCATGTGATTGAATGATAGAAGTCAGCAGGGCTCCACCTCATTCATTAAGCTAAGGGAAAATTTCCCTTGCAAAGTGATCAGCCTATCTGCTTTTGGTAAATCAACCCCATAGGCTCTACATTTGCTTTGCTTCCACTGAAAAAGAAACAAGTTCAATCTCTATTACAAGCAGTAAAGGGCCAGGGCTGTAGGGAAGGTTGGTTTTTCCTAAGGGGTCCAATGAGACAGAAAAAGCAGGACCGGCCTCTATATTAAAGTTGCATTTGTTATTGTAATTTATATCCTCATTTTATGACTAACGAGTTTACCCTCCTGATGTTTCTAGGCCACCCTCTTTTTAGGGGAGCATGTCCACTCTAAAAGGCTTGATCTCAAATGACAGGCTAATACCTACATACTTTTAGGGATGGGACACCTTTTGAGCACAGAATTTAGAAAAAGGAAATACCTCTTGCTATAATACCCATTAAGATCACGAAGAACTCACAAATATAAAATTATCTCTTAAACCTTAAGCCTTTTGTCGCCACAACATTTTTTATACTGGGGTTTAGAAACATATACCTCCCAACTTTCTGAGATGAAAAACAGGGCCCTCTTCAGTTAAATGTATTTAAGCATTGGACACACCCCTGCCAGGCCCCTAGGTATGAGGACCATTAGGAATTTATATGCCAGAAATGATTGGTAAAAACTAGACATGTTTGTCTTTTCATCATTACTTTTTCTTAATAATGACCCTAAAGAATAGCAAACAAGATAAATAAAAGAGAAGTAACTTCAAAACTTTTTGGGGGGGCTTTACTTCTCTTTTGGATCACAGGAGTTATTTACTAATGTACTTTTGTGAACGAAAGTCAGCAGATACCAGGCTCATGGCCTTCATCTGCTGACAGCACAGAGCCATGTTGCATCCGGACAGATCCCAACAATATTAGTGGGATACACCCCAGCTACTGAGACACCACAGCTGAAGCGGATCCAGACAATTATGTCTGGATCCGCCCAGCTGCATGAGTGACAGCTGGCTCTGCCTATCTAGAGGCAGAGCCAGCTGTACCAGCCCCCTTCCCCATCCGATCCGCCAGTCAGCGCTGGCGGATCGGAGCGGGAAGGGAGGAATCCAGCCCCTCCCCTGTCACGGCAGAGAGCTGTGACAGGATCGAGAGGTGGGCGAACGCCGTATGTGTTTGCTCACCTCTCGATCTACTGAGCCGACCTGTGACAGTCTCATTGTCACAGGTCGGCTAGAACTATGAGGTGAGTGAAAAGCACTCACCTCATAGTTCTCCTTTAACAGCTGTTTGACTACATAAGGCCATTTTAGCATTGCACCAAGTTGGATGAGAGACTTCCTTTAATCCCTTGTGTCTGTATGTATCTAAATTCACATTACATCTTCAAGTTATAGACAACAGATCGTAAACCAGACTAAGAAATTAGATAAAAGATTTAGTGCAGAATAATACTTTTGATAATTAAGTAGAACCTTGTCATAGATATCCGTACATAAATCCAAAAAGAGGGACAGCTGTGTAGGGAAGAGAAACAGAGGGATTTGGTTACAAATGAGACTTTTGGGAGGTTTGGCAATATCAAATGCAATACTGTTGGGTGAGAAGGTCAGTACAATGTAAACTTTTTGGTATTTGAATACATGAGACTAAGAGGAAGGACTACTGAGGAGAAGAGAGAGAGACAGGATTTAGTTCCAAAACAAGAGCTGACCCCCCGCCAAAAAAAAAGAGAGACAGCTGGGAGCTCTGCAGATTTAGATAAAAGCCCACCCACACAAAAGGAACATTGGGGAGAAAATGAAAATGACTGCTGCACTGTTTCTCATGTCTTTTGAGTGAATTTAAACTCAAGTAAAAAATTTAGGGTTAAGTGCTCTTTTTTGTCTAGAGAGGAAAGAAAAAAAACAATCCTCATCCGAATCTCAGATCTGGCCAGCTGTGACAGCGCTCCCTCCAACAATGGCGTGCCCCTCAGTGTCCTCACTTGCGTACGTATACACTGTGTATAGAACGTAATGATTTACAGAATGGGAGGGGGATTGATGCTGGAAGGACCGATCTAAGAGCAAGCCAGCCCCAGGGTTATGGTGAATATAATGTTTTTATTTTTAACCCTAGACAAAAACAAGCACTTGACCCTTGCAGTGCAGGGGTATCCCCACTGCAAGGGTTAAGAAAATGTTTAACTGGAGTTCTTTAAATGCAAACTTTTCGTGTCTGGCTTTAAATGCAACTTTAGTAGGTCACCTGTACCTTTCTGTTGTATAATAAATGAATCAGTGCTTGGTTTATGTTTAGTGATTTTTAGCATTCCAGCGGCAAGAATTTCAGATGGCTTCCATCATTTATTTTGTAGCTTTGTGCACTCATAAGCTTCTGTATATGAATGATGCAATGCCAAACTAAACTTGTGCGGCTACAAACAGTAGAAAGAGTAGACTACAGAAACATATGACGGGTGGGTGTTATTTTAAATGTAGCAGACAAACAGAGATTTGATGGAGCCGTCGGAAGACTTAGTACAGATCTATAAATCAGTCCATGACTGTTGGGATCCGCAGTATGGTAAATGTGTGCAAAAGTTATAGTGCTCAAGTACTTTTATTGGCACAAATTAACTTATAACTGCAAAGAAGAAGTGGGATGTTTGCATGCAAACACAATTTAAGAGGAACTCCAGAAATCATTGCTCATCTCTAAACTGTTCCTGTATCTTAATCCCACTGTAATTTAAATAAAATATGAAATTCTGTCAGGGTTATTCACTAAAGGGTGAAGAGTTTGGAGAAGGCAGGAGAAGTGAACAATCTAGGACGTTCTAGGACGGGGGGTCGTATATAGCTTAACAAATTGGGTAGATCTTAGCAAGTTCAATGTATTAACACGTATTTACCATATGGTCATTTAGATGTAAGTTTTTAAAAGAGGTGATCAGTGGGCGAAGGGCCCCCTTACATTGTTGACCATTGGGAAAAGGCCCCCCTTACATTGGTGACCAGTAGGAGAAGATTCCCTTTACATTGATGACCACTGGGACAAGAGCCCCCTTATGCTGGTGACTGGGGGGAGAGGAGCCCCCTTACATTGGTGACCAGTAGGAGAAGATACCCTTTACATTGATGACCAGTGGGACAAGAGCCCCCTTACGCAGGTGACCGGGGGGGAGAGGAGCCCCCTTACATTGGTGACCAGCACTAGAAGATCCCCCTTACATTGGTGACCAGTAGGAGAAGAGCCCCCTTACATTTGTGAAAAATAGGAGAAGAGCCCCTTACATTGGTAGTCAGTGGGAGAAGGACCCCTTACACTGGTGATCAGTGGGAGAATGTTTTGATTGGAGAATGATCTACATAATCTAGCCGTGACCTGTGCAGGTCCCCAATGACCAAATGATCTTGGAAGAATTAATCATTCAGGTTGGACTTTTCCAATCACTATTGATTTCCAGAGATAAGGTTGGTGCAACCATGCATCATTTTACTGTGATTGTTCTAAAAAATATTCTTGCAGCAATCCTATCTTCTTACTAGTTGTCTTTTACGTGTGTGTACCTTTAATGTGAGGTTTTACTCAAATGTTAATATAAATGTATAAATAGATCCTTTGTTAGCAGCACAGATACTTATCCTTTCTGGAGATAATGTTGCTCCAGGTTTCCTTTAGTGCTGGCCACTTGTTTAAAGACCAAGTCATCTTGTCATGTGACCTCTACTGAAGGGCTAGTTCAATCAGTCTCAACTCTTATCCACCCCTTCAGCAGACATCACATGACTGAGTACCTAGACCTCCAGACAAGTGACCAGCACCGAACTGTACATGATAAGTATTTTCCACAGCAAAGATATTTCAGCCATTTATAATACTTTTTTTTCAATTCCAGCTAAAATATTAACATTTAATTATAGATCTATTCTTAGATGACTCTATGTATAGACCAGGCACTTGCATTAGTTTGGCTGGAAGGCATGATGCAGATTGCTCTAATATGCTTGAGTAGCCTTGGTCCCAGAGCTGAGGATGCCTTTGAGATGAGAGAATGAAGGGTTAGACAGCTCAGTAATGATTTTGATGGGGACACAGACACTTATAATTACTCCTTCTTCTCCAAGCAAAAAACATAAAGTTCATAAAAAAATGTGTAAAGTGTAAAGCTATTTTTATGTGTCTGGTGTTATTGGATGTAACATTTGTCAAGAAATGTTCCTATAATGTTTTTGCCTGGGCCAGGAATTGAAGTCTCTCTGATGCATACAATGCAATTTCTGTTGCCAGTGAGCCCTAACTTTTCACCCTATATAGCAGGTAATATTGCACCTCCAAATGATGAACAGAACCATTATCCACAAACAGTCTGATGAAGTAAATTTACTGGAGATTTTGTTTTCTAAATTAAAGCTGTTAAAATGTTCATCTTTAATGATAAAACATGAAATTGTAATGAAGTGAGATGTATTCTCCTTTCCCCTCATTTCCTACAAATAAGATGGTTGGTGTCAGTGCCTAGAGCAGTGAATGTAAATGCTATATTATTGCCTTTGTTAATCAAACATACTGTATAATGCAAACTGATAATCACTCAGCAGTATGATATTATGTTAATACAAGTTTGACTCATCTTTTTATATTTTTTTATTAAACCATATCTGTAATGTTATCTCTTTCTGCTTCTTCTTGTAGGGTACAGGAAGATACTCCATTTACATTGCAAACTATGCAGATCGGAGAGTGGGCCCTCATGCTTTGATTGAACTTGATGAGGCAGCGAGTGACTTGTCCAGGGGAGTCCTTGTCCTCTCCAATGTGGCAGCTGAAGCAGGTGTCAATAAGTATACAGGTATTTGTAATAGTTTTAATTTTGGTTGATGTTTGTATAGAAAATTTTATGCATCAAGTTGAGATAAGGACCTGATAGACCTGACCCTGGAGGTGTCTTCTGTGTGTTGCCAGTGGTACTAAAGGACTTTTTTTTACTGTTTCAATTACGCTTTAAAATTCAAGTGAAAGTAGTTATACACTATGCTATAGATCAGCCTTCCTTAACCAGGGAGCCTTCTGGCTTCCTCAGGGGTGCCTTGAAATATTCACACAGGGTTATGCCTTTCCATGGTGTAGCCAGGCTTCTGATGTGAAGGGGGAACTCGGATTTGAAAGGGGGATTTGATGTAAAGGGGGGATTCTCATGAAAGGAGTGCTTCTGATATGAAGGGAGCCTTTGATGTGAAGAGGGCTCTTGATGTAAAGGGGGACTTCTAATGTGAAGGAGGGTTCCTGTGAGAGGGGGGTTCTGATGTACAAGGGGGTCTAATGTGAAAGGGGCTCTTGATTTAAAGGGATGGCTCTGATGTAAAGGGGGAACCAAAGGGGGAACCAAATGTTGCTTGTGTTTTTGCATGGGGCCCCTCCTAAGGTCACACATCGTTTTTTACATTTAGGTTTTTAACATTCGACACTGAGGTGCCTCATGATTTTTCATACTCCTAAAGCTGTTGCGAAAAACTGCTATAGATTTTTAAAAAATCACAATTTCCAATAAGGATGTTTCCATCTAAGTCTGATATTTCTTGTTTTCTTAGTTTCTTTGAAGGTGAATGACATGCTGGCTTCTTATATTGCCAATAGGTTATTCAACCCACTAAAGCCTAGTTCAGAACTAAATACAGACATTCCCTGGGTTACGAACAAGATAGGGTCTGTAGGTTTGTTTCTTAAGTTGAACTTTTATGTAAGTTGGAACAGGTAAATGTTTTAAGTGTAACTCCAGCCAATTTTTTTTTTTGGATAGCATAGGGAAGGGTTTACGCCCTGTAAAGTTTTGTTTTGCTGTGTGTGCCCCTGTTCAGAAGATTTCACCTCACTTTCTATCCCTGTAACAATTGGATTTTGAAAATTTTGGGTTGTCGTGGAAACAAGGATTGGTGATAAAGCTTCAGTGGAGACTCCTTTTTGCCATGATCACTCTTACAGGAGTGAATTTCCCTAACTAGGGGTAGATTTCCTCTTACTTCCTGTTGCCTCAAGGGCAGGAAGTGAGATTAAATCTTTCTAATGAGGATACAGACAGCAGTAAAAAGCTCACAGTGACCCGGAAGAAGAGGCGGGCACCCCTCGTCTGCACGTCTAACAAGAGCCAACTTCCTGTAATGTACGTGCAGTACTACGAACCAGACCCAAAAAGTATGGGTCTGCCTTTGCTGACTTCCTTGTGTAAATACTACTTACCTGGCTCTTGTGCTGACCCACCTCAATACTTTCTGAATTGCTGACCTGGAACAGGTATGCAGATCACAAAAAGTCAGAAATCGCTATTTGCATTCAAATAATTGAAGCCAGCGAGCCTTCATGACTTCCAGGCATTTAGCTTTTGAGGAATGAGAAGTCAGCAGTCTCCATGTTTATCTTAGAAAAAGGGATCCTTTTATACAGCAGTGTGTAAAGCAGTGATGATGTGTAAAGTGAACTAAACCACAGCAACCAATCAGATAGGTCTTTCACCTGGGTTGTACAATCAGACGGAGGCTAACTGATTGGAATCCTTGGCTAATTATATAAATCTGATATTTGTGTAATGGGATGCTGTCTGGATAAAAAGTCAAACGTGTTCTCTCCAGCAGTGATTTAACGCAATGTCATTTTTAGAATATAATACATTATAATTATCTGAGTTAACAGGAATTTCATATTGATCTGAAAAAGTTAGTATTTGGAATGTACTTTATTGCTTTTACGCTGTAAAAGTGTTTTTCCACTGTAGCGTTAAATAGTAGTATATGCTACTTTCCATGCTACCTGCTAAATAGAAAGTCTCTGT